GGGAGAGAGAGAATGGCCCTGCCTTTCCTTCAGGAACACTTTGGCACCAGTGAGAATGATACGTACTCTCTAAGCCCCAACTGAAGTGTTGCATGGGACCTTCACAAAGCATCCTGTTCTAAAAGGACTGGCCAGACCTTGTGATGTGTCCCAGTGGCAGGGTGCTACCCTGGGCTGTGGGAAAGCCAGGATCAATTCCTGCTCTCACCAATATCCTGTGTGACCTTGGGCATGTCCTTTAGTTGCTCTGTGCCTCAGTTCCATTTGTGAAATGAGAATAAAAGCATTCTCAGAATACTGTGGTGATAGAGGCTACATAAGTATAATAAATATGGAAGTAACTCCAGTGTGGCATAGAACACTGGAATATGGTAGCAGATTAAAGGGGCAGCTGAATTTGTGCGCATGCCCCCAGAAGGCAGACCAGAATTTGGTGGCAGAACCAGCACTGAAACGGGGGTGGAAAGGGGTGATCTCACCATCACCTAAGCCTTCAGCAGCAGAACTATACACATAGCAAGGCCTCCAAGGGAGCATTTCCTTTGGTTCCCATCCTGGATTTACTTGGGCTTCAGCTTTCATCAAACTGCAATATGGCAAAGCAGGACTTGGGGGACATCTTATATCTGACCCACAAAACTACAGCCAGTCCTAGTCTAGAGCCTGCAGCAAGGGAGCCCCTAGAAGGCACCAAGCTGACAGTCTTTAATTTCTACTGTAGTCATTGGATCTGCCTTGTGAGCTGTGCCTCTCCTCTGCTGTGTCCTGTCTTTGGTTGGCCCTGCCTGCCTCACCCCTCACACTTGCTCACTCATTCTCACAATTTTGCTGCTGAAAGCAAGGGGCAACAGGCAGCCAGTGCAAATGTTTCCCCTGTCAGTGATTCACACTGACAAGGGCAGGGCATTCCTCTGCCTGGATAAGCGCTGACTGGGCCGTGCCCCACACAGGAACAGGTGGAGGGGGTGAAGGTTAGAGACAAGGGAGTTTGTTCTTTCTTCCCATGTCTACTCCTCCAATAAAGATAGAAACCTGTGGGAGAGGGCAGCATACCAAGATATCCTTGGTATCTGAGAGTGAGTGAGTGAGCAGGAAAAGGGGCAGGAGAGACCAGCCTGGATAAGCGCTGACTGGGCCGTGCCCCACACAGGAACAGGTGGAGGGGGTGAAGGTTAGAGACAAGGGAGTTTGTTCTTTCTTCCCATGTCTACTCCTCCAATAAAGATAGAAACCTGTGGGAGAGGGCAGCATACCAAGATATCCTTGGTATCTGAGAGTGAGTGAGTGAGCAGGAAAAGGGGCAGGAGAGACCAAGGGAAGAGGGGCCGGCAGACGGCGCGGACAAGGGGCGGGGGGAGGAGGTCGCAGAAGTGACATCACGGGGAGGCCGGCCCGAGGGAGGGCCGGAGGCTGATGAGGGGGGTGACGTCACCTGCCTGCAACCGGCGGGCAGTTCAAAAGGTCGCATTGGACCAGCAAGCAGGGGGGACGCCGAGGAGACGGACCCACCCCGGGAGCGAGCGGAAGGACTCAGGTACTGGAGACCCTGGGCGGGACCGGAGTGGAGGCCCGCGGGGTGAAGTGATTTAACTTGGGGGAAGAAGTGGCCCAGGGCGGGCACGTGGACCCTGAGAGCGGGGGAGTTTAGGGTTCTCGACCCCCCCCGCTAGGTGGGGATTCTTTCCCTGACCTTAGGGCCCTGGGTCGGGGTCCGGAGCGAGGGCGGGCCCGGACCCTCTTCCCCCAACCGGCCGAGCTGAGCGGAGCAAAGCCGGGCGCACACGGCCGCCAACGGCCATAAGGACTAAGGGGGGGGGATGTCAGCCCCTCCCCCGGGGTGAAAACCCCTACAAGAACTTATAAAGGTCAGAGACAGGTAGCTGTTTGTACCAGGGAAATTGAGGTTTGTGCCATCTTCCTGCCTTTGCCCATCCCACTTCTGTTTTGTCCTGACAGCAGCAGCCAAGCTTCCCTCTCACCCTGTCCCCCCTGGCATTTGGATTTGGGAGAGATCCACTCACCTGGAAGAGCTCGATACGCTGCTCGCTGCGTTTGGAGCTTGGGTTGGGCACTCGCAGCACTCGGAACTCAGCCCGAAACAGATTGGTGCTGTTCTTCTCTGCTGAGGATACGTTGAAGCGGAACACGTTGGAGGTGATGCCTTTGGGGCAAATGCCCAACTCATCTAGGAGACAGAGAGGGAGGCTAAGAGCAGAGGGCAAAGTAGGAGGGCATAAGCCAGTGAGGGGCAACCTAGGCTAATGAAGGACTTCACGAGTAACCTTTCTTCATCTCAGTAGGCTGCAAGATTGTCTACCCAAGACAGTCTCCCTGATAGGGTAGCTTTGCTAACTGTGCTTCAGTCCCTAGGATTTCCGGGGTGTGACACTTGAACTGTAATAGTCCTTTGATTGGCTCCAGCTAGAGACCAGGGCTCTCAGAATGGTGTGTGCTCACTGCACATACGTGTCACTTTTGTAATACTGGTGGGGAAAAAAACTACATGGACAAAAACTAGCAGAATTTGGCAACCCTGTGTATGGGAGGTGATAAACAAATTGTCTTGTGGGCCACCCAGAGAACCCCAATGGGACACAGGCCTAGGCAGAACACTATAGCTAACCCTGTGAACAACAGTAGATTGGCAAGAGGCATTGTGAACAAAGCCTTCCATTCTGTCTTCTTTACACTGCAGCCTGCCTGTCCCAGATGAAGTGAACACAGGGGTAAATTCTCCACCCAAACCTTCTTTAAGCCAGACATTTAACAGAAAAGTTTTCCTGCTCCAGCAACAACACTAGAGGGCCTCAGGCAGACCAATCACCCGCATTTTGAATTCATGTCATCTAACCCATCTCCAGGCACATCTAATCAACACAGGTTTAAAATGCCACTGACCATACAATCCTCATCTGCACGAACACTCACAGGCTATGTCTACACTGGCATGATCTTGTGCCAGAGCTATGCAAATGAGGCTAAGAGTGGAATATCACCAAGCCTCATTTGCATATCTAATGAGCCGCCATTTTTGCGGAAGAGGCTCTTGTGCAAGAAAGATCTGCACAATGCTGTTATTCCTGAAAAAAATCAGCGCAACGGCATTGCGCAAGAGGGTTTTTCTTGCGCAAGAAGGGGCAGTGTAGACAGCTCCTTCTGGCGCAAGAGCCTCTTCTGCAAAAATGGTGGCTCAGATATGCAAATGAGGCTCAGCAATAGTCCATGCTTAGCCTCATTTGCATAGCTCTGGTGCAAGATCGCGCCAGTGTAGACATAGCCACACTGTTGTTGCTACTAGGAAAGTTGAACAGCATTTATCTGGAGTAGACGAGGCTCCACTAAAGGCAAGCAAGTACCTCTGGATTTACACCACTATATCTGAGCAAAGGACCTGGCCCAGTTGTCTCTGAATCTTAGTTTCACAAAGTTCTCCTTTGGAAAAAACTACTTGATGTCATTGTCTCCTGGAATGCAAATTGGCCAAAGAACACACAGCATGAGGCAAGGGTCGGGGGGAAGATTGGGAAGGGGTGTTGTCTAATGGGTACTGTAGGGCAGTGGTCCCCAACCTTTTGGGGCGATTGGGCGCCCAGGGGCGGGGCTACTCATGTGCTGGGCATCCGGGGGCATGGCCGCTCATGCGCCGTGCGCCCAGGACAGGGGCTGCCCATGTGCCCTGCGCCAGCACCACACATGGGCCACACACCTGGGGCAGGGGCTGCCCATGTGCCGCAGGGGCCGCCCATGTGCCATGGGGGCGGGGCCGGCCCAGGTGATTCGGCGGGCACCGCATTGGAGACCACTGCTGTAGGGCTTAGCATTAGGGCTAGTCTTCACTGATTGATTGGACGAAGGACTGACATCCAATACTAGCCACAAACACCAGCAAGGACAGAGAAATAATCCCGAAGGACCCAGAGCGATTAGACAAATGAACTGGAAATAACAGAAGGAGGCAGCCTGCTGGGGAAAAATGCTCAGAACCCAGATAGCCAACAGGAAGGAAGGGGAGGGGCCTGGAGAATGGATGCAGTTTGAGGCGGAAGAGAGGTCCCACAGAATGAGCCTCCACTCACCTAATGGAGTCCACTGCTTCTGTTCTCCCACTCCCCTTTCTTCTGCCCGGATTCCTCCTCTGCCCCAGGCTTACCTGAGAGTGCAGCTCCCTGAGCCAGGGCTTCCAACTTTCTAATCACACAAAACTGGATGCCCTTGCCCCACCTCTTGTTGAGGTCCTGACCTGCCCCATTTCTGGGGCTCTGCCCTCCACACTCTCCATCCACCATCTCGTTCTTGCTTGCTCACCCCCACCCTCACTTTCATTGGGCTGGGGAGGGGGTTGGAGGTGACGGCTGACTAGGGGTGTGGGCTCTGGGGTGGGGCCAGAGATGAGGGGTTTGTGGTGCAGAAGGGGGCTTAGGGCTGGCTGGGGCAGGAGCATGGGCTCTGGGAGTTTGTGTGCAGGGGTCAGTTACTACTGGAGCAGGGGGTTCAGGGCCCATGCTCCATCCAGGCAGCACATACCTCATGCAGCTCCCAGTTGACCATGCAGTAAGGCTAAGGCAGGTTCCCTGCCTGCCCTGGGCCATGCAGCAAAGCTAAGGCAGGTTCCCTGCCTGCCCTGGCTCCACATTGCTCCCAGAAGTAGCTGGATGTCCAGCCTCTAGATGGAGGTGTGGTTGGGGTCTCTGCTGTGTTGTGGTTACTGGCTAATAGGAGTCATGGAGCTGGTGCTGGGGATCTGAGCATTGCGTGAAGTTTCCCTGATTGTCACTCTGCCAAGGGTCCAGAGGAATATGCTGACTGCTTCGGAGAGCTGTGTGGAGCCAGAGCAGACACGGAGCCTGCTTTAGCCCTGCTGTCCCATCAACTTGACTTTTTACATTCTGGTCAGCAGTACTGTCCAGAGCCCTAGATTCCTTTCTAACTGGGCGTTCTGGTCAAAAACAGATTCCTGGCAAACCTACTCTGAGCTCCTGATTCACTTTCAGCCTAGGTAGAAAGCAGCCCTCATGACTTGCACCTTTAAAGCCAGCATCACCCTGGCCCCTTCAGTCTCTGCTCCTCTCTGCCCCCATATGCCAGTTTACGGCTAACTGCACAGAGCATGCAGCTTCTCATGTGCTGCAGACCCAGCACTGTATGGGCAGCCATAGTGAAGTTCTCAGCACTGCTCTATTGTGTCATTTGATGTCATATTTTTGTTGGTCTTAAGAACCCATGTTCCTTCTACAGGCCCAGCATGTGATAGACAGGAGGCCCTGCTAATCCTGAAAGACCCTGGTCTCAGCCACTTCTCTTCACTGCACCAGCAGCTTCCAAAGGAACAGTGTGTCAGGCTCCAAAGAGAGCTAATGTAGAACCCAGGCCTTGGGGAAGACAAACCTATCCACAAATGAAGATAAATTCCCAGGGCCAAATTCTGCACAGCACACCAATGGTTCAATCCACACTCACTCCAATGAAGGCAAAGGCCTTTCTCTTGATTTGCACTCAGACTTTGGAGCAGAAGTATAAAACTTCATGGAGATTCACCCCCTGGATTCACTTGGAATGACTTGACAATCTGAAAGCAGATACCTTTGATAGTAGAAGATATGATATATAAGGCATGTTCTTCAAAGTGCTTCCCTTTCCAACCAGTGTAAGCTCAGCTTTCCCTGAGTCAGTAGTAGCCAGCTGCTCTTATCCAAGTGCTAAATTCAGGAACAGGCTGAGAGAGCCAGGAGGTGACACTGTTTGTGTTTGATATAAAGGAGAATAATATGAGGGAGAGGACTGAGCCTGGTGGGACTCTAGTTGAGGGCTTTGGATGTAGAGGGATAATTGGCCAAAGGACCCAGTGGGTTTGATATAATTGTACCCCTTTCTCAAGATGGCCTGTGTTTTGTGGCACGAGACCAAGCTAGGTCACTGACTGGCAAATGTGAGTCCTCCGTTCTGAGGCCATCCAGTCAGCACTCAAAATAAAACTCAGTCACCTGAATCTTAGAAGACTCTGAATCTCTGGAGCAGAAGGATGTGGATGAGCAGGAGAAGGATTATTTTTTAAGGTTGGTTCTTGCAGGTTTTGTCTCCACGTTTATGTGCTTTGGAGAGACAATGGCATCCTTCTATTCCTTAATGAGTCTCACCAGGCACATTCTAATATAGCAGAGCCTACACACAGGCCCATGAGTTGGCAGGGCATTTGGCTGCTGCTCCCTCGCCCCATATGCCCTCTGACCCCCCTCTCTTTTATCCCCTTGAATTCCTGTCTGAAGTGCAGATACAGGTAGCTTACACACTGGAACCAGCCATCTGTGTATGTGAAGGGAAACACAGAAGACTTCATGCCTCCAACATCTGCCTCGCTCCTCCTTTCCCCAAGTAATTGTTGGTCTTTCTGGTTGTGTGTCTCCGCTGCTCTCCAGAACAGGCTGCTTGCCTCAGTGTGAGAGGTGGGTGACTCACTTGCCTCTTGTTAATTGTGGCATGTGGGTGTGAGTGTGGGTTAGGCTCTGACAGTGGGATAATAGTGGTTAGGGACCCCCAGCAGGTTACTTGGTGTGGATGGCACAAGTGGAAAGAGCTGGGCACAGGATGATAGTGGCACCACCAGGCCTTTAGAAATGAATTAGGAGACTCTTTAAAGAAATGGGCTACATCTATACTGTAGACTTCTTGCGGAAAAGTATATGGAAATGAAGCACAGTGTAGAATGTCGTCATGCTTCATTTGCATAAGTAATGAGCAGCCGAGAAAAGTATATGGAAATGAAGCACGGTGTAGAATGTCGCCATGCTTCATTTGCATAAGTAATGAGCAGCCGTTTTTGCGCAAGAGGCTTTTGCGGAAAAATGAGTAATGAATATGGCTCCTTTTTGCGCAAAACCCCCCTTTGAGGAAGAACGGCTCTTGTGCAAGAGGGGGTTTTTGTGCAAAAAGGAGACGTCTACACGGCTCGTTTTGCGTAAAAGCCTCTTGCGCAAAAACAGCTGCTCTTTACTTATGCAATTGAAGCGAGGCAATATTCCATGCCGTGCTTCATTTGCATATGCTTTCCCGCGAGAAGGCTACAGTATAGACGTAGCCATGGTGTTCAGCACCTACTCCCCTGCACTGCTTGCAAAGCTGGGGAGAGGATGGGAACAGAGATGCCATTCATCCAAACACAAGCAGTCCAGACTACTTGAAACAGAACACAATGCTTTCTAGAAATGTGAAACCTTTTCCTCCCTCTGAGTTACCTTGAGCAAGGGCCACCTTCCCCTGCAGTGTTCTAGTGCCTGGAATAGCATAGCAAAAAGCTGATCATGTATACGGCCAACAGCCAACGATTCTAACATAACCAGGCTCACCCAGCACCAAGCTCCCTTCTAGACTTTCCCCATTGTCAACTTGGTGTTCTGGAGAAAGATGAGGTCTCCAAGTCAGTGAGTTGTTTAACTGATGGTTTGGAGGTAGGGCAGTTTTGAGCATGTGTATGTGTGCAACTTGTCTGTTTAAGCCCTTAAGATTTCTCATTGAAGTTAGACTGAGTTATGGCTCAGAATTTACTTTCAGATCACCACCTGAGCATGGCAGTGTCAGGGGAAAGTTGATCATTAGCCACTTTTCAAGACATAGGGCCAAATTCAACCCTGGTATGAGTGGATAAAACTCCACTGACTTCAGTGGGAACGTGGCTGCTTCTTCCAGGGCTAGATTTGACACACTGTCTCCCACATCAACTCAGTTTCTAAGATGTCTCTCCCCTGGAAAACGTACTGGCCCTTCCCAGAAATTCAGTCCAAACAGCACTTTGAACCCAGTGTTCAGTCATAATCTGGGCACTCCGGATATGGATTGGGAAGGTTAATTAATTGTGCTAATCATAACAAGAGACTAGCAGAAGCAGAACCTTGTAGTGATGGCAGACTTTAAATACCCAGACAACTGTTGGAAGAGAGAGTGCTAATCATAACAAGAGACTAGGAGAAGCAGAACCTTGTAGTGATGGCAGACTTTAAATACCCAGACAACTGTTGGAAGAGAGTAACATGGCAAAACACAACATTTCCAATAAGTTCTTAGAGTATCTGAATTATGGTACAACTGCAAACTATCCTGATTCAAAGGAAAGATAGGAAGAATAGTAAGAGTTCAATATGGATGTATCAGGAACTCTTTAATGACCCGAAATAAAAACCTGTGAGGAAAGGCTGAAAGAACTGGATATGTTTTAGTCATGAGAAAAGAAGACAGGGGCGCAGGATAACATCCTGTTTATAAGTTAAGGGCTGTTATAAAGAGGATGGGGCTTAATCCAAAGCAAGGGAGATAAAAGTTGGATATTACTAGATATCTGGGTCAGGTTAATAAAGAAGGTTGTAGCATCCCCATCATTAGATGTTTGAAAAATAGGTTAGAGAAACACCTGTCAGAGATGGTCTGTGTTCAGTTGGTCCAGCTGTGAGAGCAGGGGACCAGACTTGATGACTTTTCGAGGTCCCTTCCAGCCCTGCATTTCTATGTTTTTGTTGTGACTAATAAGAGTCTGGCAGAGAGTGGCCTGGGGATGTGGCAACTTACCCCCTCACCACTTCTAATGCACCTCATGCCTGACATGTACTACCCCTGGCTCTTCCACTCCTGCTCTGCCTCTGCCAAAGTGAGCCAGTGCACCTCAAATACCAGCCTGCAGCTTCCTCTTATCTTTTCGCACACTGTGCCTGCATTTTAAACCGGCTCCTTCTTTCCTGGTACCAACCATCCTCTCCTTTCACCTCACCTTACCCTGCAGTGCTCCGCTGTGGTGCTGAAACCATTTTCATACCCAGAATAATTTCTCTATAGTGGGGGGTCTAATTTAAACTGTAAGCTCCTCAGGGCAGAGATCTGGCCTACCAACATGTTTGCAGAGTACCACTTATGGCACTATGGTAATATATAAATACCCATTGTTGCCCTTATTCCAGTTCATCATAGTAAGAATAAAATAAACATGGCTGCAATCTGAAACTGCCAACACAATGCAGCTCCTCCATAACACAGCACCAGGAACCTCCATCACCAAAACTGCATCCCCAATGCAATACTACAGCATCAAGGAACACCCTGGCTACATCTAGACTGGCATGATTTTCCACAAATGCTTTTAACGGAAAAGATTTCCGTTAAAAGCATTTGCGGAAAAGAGTGTCTAGATTGGCACGGATACTTTTCCGCAAAAGCACTGATTTGCGCAAGAGGGCTTTTGCCCGAACGGGAGCAGCATAGTATTTCTGCAAGAAGCACTAATTTCAGACAGTGGAAGTCAGTGTTCTTGCGGAAATTCAAGTGGCCAGTGTAGACAGCTGGCAAGTTTTTCCGCAAAAGCAGCTGATTTTGCAGAAAAACTTGCCAGTCTAGACACAACCCCTGTGTTGGGACATCACTGCATGTCTTCCATTGTATTCCAGAACTGAGGAATCTCCAGCACTGACTGAAGGGATTGCTCAGTCCCAACATCCATTCAGCTCCCACATCTGCAATCTGCTCGGGATTGGTGTCTGCTCAGTCTCTAGGTCTGTATCTGAACCTGAATCTGGTTAGTGTCTGCATCTGTATCTGCTCAACATCTGCTCTGCACTTGCTCCACATCTGTTTTTCAGTATCTCCTTGGTGTGTGTGTGTCCCATTGAGATCTCCTCTGCATCTACTTTGGTGTCTGCTCTGCACCTGCTCAGCATCTATGTGATCCTCTGCTCATTATCTGTCCCCTCAGTATCTGTTTCTCCTGAGCGTCTCTCCAGTATCTGCTCAGCATCTGAGTCTCCTCTGCATTTATGCAGTGTCTTATCATTGTGTGTGTCTCCTTAGTATCTGAGTTTCCTCAGCATCTCCTCTGTCTTCCCTTAGTGGCTGTACCTCTCCACATCTCCATGTCTGCCTTCCTCTGTACATGTATCTTTGTCTTCTCTGCATCTGACTACATTCTGCAGAGTAAATGAGCCAAATCCATTCCTACTGCAACCACTGAAGCCAGCAGAGTTTTGCCACAGATTAATATGGCCCAGCACTGGGACTATGTTTTCCGCATGCAGACACGCTTTTATTTCTGCTACTAATCCTTTAGGGTGAATTCAGCCTACAAGCCCCAAACTCTTTCCTCCTCATCGCCTCCGCTCACCATCTTTTTTCTTTCTTCTCTCTCCTCCAGTCGGGTGTATGTGTCTCCTCCCTTCCCATCTTCTTCAGGATATCAGGGCTTCAAACATTGGCTGGGCTTGCTATTCCTTGGCTAGAATCTAGGCTGATGTTATTCCAAGACACTGAAAGCCCATCCCTTGCCTGCCGCTTGCCAATGCTCAAACTCCTCCACCTGCTGGAGGCTGCTCTCCAGCCAGCACTTGGCCATTTAAAAAAAATTGTTTTTAAAATTCATCTTTAGGTTTTTTTCAGACCCCTCCCACTCACACTGCTTATCTCCAGGCTCCCCTATACACTCTACATACCACCCCCACACCTATGGCTCTCTAGTGTTGTCTTCACTCTATTCCCCCAACATACACACTTGCTGCCCCAATAAACAATAATTTCAGCGTCCATGAGGACACCTTATGGTATGAAGGCAGCATGAGGCTATTCCCAGACTCTGGGGTTCTCGTCTGTGCAGTCTCTCAGCATTTGCCAGATTTCTTTCATTCCTACTGTGCTTTGAAAATCTTTGTTGTAATCATGTGATTCACATACACTGAACATATATGTTCAAAGGCATGCAAAAGCACATATACATCTCACAACTTCCCCATATGAGCAAATACACATGCCAAGAAACACTGCACACTGAAACGCACGGACTCTTCCCAACCATGTACAAACCTCCATGAAGATATGAAAACATATTACTCCCACTCAGCTATACCCCAAGACACAGAAACAAATGTCTCATATGTCACTCCAGCCTCACATAGGGCTGAAACACACGTAGTCTTATCTCACTGGTAAAAAATGTAGATACATAAACAGACGCACTGGCACTCACACATGTGCACACACATACTTGGACAAACATGTGCGCACACATTCACATATAAAATACATGCACATGTGCGCAGACACAGACAGACAATGCATAATATAGAATGTGCACATGCAAAAATAGACCTGTGTGTACACATTCACTTTTGTACAGACAGCTACACAACTAGCTGTACATACACACCCACACATAAGCATTGTCAGGCACACACTTTACAGCAATGTGGCCTAGATCAATCACCTAAAAAAAGGCAACAAAAGAGTTGCTATTTTTTTTCTTTGCTAGAAGTGGATGGGAAAGCAGACGTGTCCACAGTTACTAGACACCTGCCTCAGAATGGCTATCAGAATCTGTGAATGCTCCTGCCAGGAAACTTCATCCCTTCCAGAGGGAAGTGCAAAGTATTCCTCCTGCATTCCCCCTCCCCTGTCCCAGTAGAAGGCACTGCTGTCCCTTCCTTCTTGCTCCCCACCCTAGGCAGCCTTGCCTCTGGGCTTCATGCACTATGCACCTCCTGCTCAGTTTTGGGTCCCTCCCAGGATGACGCCCTGAAAGCCATGCACAGGAGCAGAGGATGATGGGGAACTTACTGTGCTCGGGAAGACCCTGGATCAGATCAAATTTGTGGATTTCCTTGGCGTAATATTCGGACTCGGTGCTGTCCTGAAAGCAGCTCTCCTCCTTCTCCTCCTCCATCTCCTCCAGCAGCTCCCGGGTGCTGTTATACAGGGCCAGAATCTGGTAGGGCACATGAGTTGGTCCTACCGTCTCGGGGGGGCTCGTGAGCCTCAACTTACTCAGAATCTGCCCCCTGATGGCCTCCACCCTCTTCTTCTTGATGTGGTCGAGTTCTAGGGTGGTGCAAGAGGAGAGCGAGAGACTGACGGTGGCAAAGCTCAGCAGGCACAGGACCACCAGCGCCCGTTGCAAGTGCATCTTCATGTGCGAGAGTAAAGAGGGAGCCACAACGAGGGGACACCCCAGAGGAAGCGCAAGTGGGCTAAGGAGACTAGGCAGGGCTTTCGGTACAGCCTCCCCAGATCCTGCAGACTGAGGCTTGGCACGAAGGTGCATGAACTCACTGTGCAGTGAGCGATTCAGGACTTCCAGGAAGCGCTGGCAACACTTAGGAAGGAGAAACAGGCTCTGTGCCGCGGCGAGCCGGGATCTTTCTCCATGTGTCCAAGCAGGACCCGCTGAGCCAGGGCTCCAGACAGACCAGGGCAGGGGAGGGCGCCTCCGCACGAAGCCAGGAACAACCGCAGAGAGGCTGGAGCTCGACTGTGCCGCGGGGCAGTCTCGCAGCTCCAGAGGCAGGTCCCCTGGAGCAGCGACCTCCTGCGCACGTGTCAGGCAGCCCCCCGGGGACGGGCAGGCGCAGGCTCCGCACACTTGTTGCGGGAATGCACTATCCACGCGCGCCCCTTAGTTCACAGCCCCTCGCGGGGCAGGACGGGGTTTGTCATTCGCGGCCGCTTGGCTCCATTGGCGCTGCGAGTAATTAAGCGACGGCCGCGCTGCACATCCCTCCGGCGTCTCCGCGGGGTCCAGGTAGGAGCCTGGGGTAGCTCAGCGCTGCCCCTCGCCTCGCTTTGCGGGCGGTATCCCCACGCGCAGCCGGAGCCCCGTGCGCGCCTGTCCTTTTCGCTCGCCCTCTCTGGCCCCCGGCCCCCTCGCTCCCTCACACACTGACTCTCTATTCCGCTCGGCTGAAATTTTATTTCTCCCT